GTTTGGTTTGGTTTGGTTTGGTTTGGTTTGGTTAAGACAAGGTTTCTCTGTATTCCACTGGCTGTCCTGGAACTTGCTCCATAGACCAGACTGACCTCAAACTCAGAAATTTGTCTGCTTCTGCCTCTTGAATGCTTAGATCAAAGGCATGTGCCACCACCGCCCAGCACAAAAAGCTTAACTATCGTGCAGGGGGCTGGGAAGATAGCTCAGCCTCTTCTGTGCAAACATAAGTACCTGAGTTCAAATCCCCCACATCCATGTAAAAAGATGGGTGTGGCTATACATACCTAACCCCTGGCACTGTAGGGGCAGAAACAAGAGGATTTTCTTGAGCTTGTACGCCATCAGCCTGCTTCTAAGTTAGTGAGAGACCGTGGGGATAAGACAAAGTGATAGAGCAAGGCACCTGATGTCTTCCTCTGCCCCCCTGCAAGTGCATACACCCACATATACACACATGCCACATGTACAAAAGAAAACAGAATAAGGGCAGTACTTGTACATGCCTAAAGTAGATATTACTGGAAAAGGGACAGGTCCAGAATTTCAAGCCATGCCAATTGCTAAATGTCTTACCCTAAATAAATCCAATCTGTACATAGTAGAAAAGCTACTTTCTTCAAATACATAACTCTCAAAAAAGATCACAATGAATGAACAAGAGTTCATTCTCCAAAAACTCAAAATAAATAAAGCTGTTAGGTAGAGTTAAGGGAAAAACATAATATTTAAATAAATAAGAGATGAAAAAGGAAATAAATATAGGAGATCATTAAAGGAGCAGGGAGAGCAGAAGCCGGGAGCAAATCCAGCCCTGGGAGCCAACCCAGTCCTGGGACACTGGCAGACCAAGATTGAGCCAATGACCTGACTCAGAGTCTGTGACCTCCACCAGAACTGGAGTGGGACTGAACCAGTTACCTGAGACATAGAGAGGAACAAGCTCCACCAGAAGCAGAAGCCAGGAGCAAACCCAGTCCCAGGACACAGGCAGATCAGGATTGACCCAGCAACCAGATCTAGAGTCAGCGATCTCCACCAGAACAGGTCCAACTCCAAGCCAGGGACTTCTGCAGGAAGAAATCCAGACCAAGATTTACAGAAACGGATCAAAACCAGCAGCCTAGCCAAAGTAGGCTTGAGACAGCAAACTCCAAGGAAGCAGACCAAAGCACAGGAGCACTGAGCTACCTCCAGGAACAAGAATAACCAACAGGGTAATTAGAACTGTGACACTGACTGTGCCATGCAGAACAACCATCTGAGCTTTGGATTCACTGGCACCTAGAAGATTATTCAACAGAATCTCAGACAGCCCCAACCACACCTATTAGAGGAAAAGATGAGTAGAGAAGGTAAGATCACACGCCACACCACAAAGAGCAACACAATACCAGTAAAACCTAAAGACCCTACAAAAAGCAAGACCTGAACAACCAAATATGGATGAACCAGAAGAAAATGATCTAAAAAAAAATAACCTCAAGAGAATGTTTGAAATTCTTAAAGATGAAATGAGAAATTACCTTAAAGAAATGGAGGATAAAACAAACAAAAAATTGGAAGATATCAGCAAATCACTTAAAGAAAACCAAGAAAAAGAACTCAAACATATAAAAGAAACTATTCAGGACTTGAAAACTAAGATAGAAAAAATAAAGAAAACACAAGCCGAAGGAATTATAGAAAAAGAAATCATGAGAAAAAGATCAGGAACGACAAATGCAAACATGAACAACAGAATACAAGAAATGGAAGAGAGAATCTCAAGTGCTGAAGATAAAATAGAGGAAATAGACTCATCAGTTAAAGAAAACATTAAATCTAACAAAAGCTTAACCTAAAATATCCATGAAATATGGGACACCATAAAAAGGCCAAATCTTAGAATAATAGGTATAGAAGAAGTTCAACTCAAAGGCACAGAAATTTTATTTAACAAAATCATAGAAGAAAACTTTCCCTACCTAAAGAAAGATATGCCTGTGAAAATACAAGAAGCTTACAGAACACCAAATAGACTGGATCCAAAAAAAAAAAGTCTTCTTGCCACATAATGATCAAAACACTAAACATCTCAGTGGAGACAATGAAAGCCAAAAGATCAGGGTCAAGCATTATGCAGACATTCAAGAGACCATGGATGCCAGTCCTGACTACTAATACCCAGCAAAACTGTTGATTACCATAGAAGGACAAAACAAGATATTCCATGACAAATCAAGATTTCACCAATACCAGCCCTACACAAAATACTAGAAGGAAAACTCCAACCCAAGGAAGATGTCTACACCAACAAAAACACAGACAATTGATGATCTCATTACAGCAAATCCTGAAGAAGAAAAAAATGCACAAATTAACATCACCATCGATGAAAATTATATTAACAGGAGATAGCAACCACTGTTTATTAATATCCCTTAATGTAAATAGACTCAACTCACCCATAAAAAAGGCACATGCTAACAGATTGGATACGAAAACAGAATCTAGGGGGCTGGAGAAATGGCTTAGTGGTTAAGAGCACTGACTGCTCTTCAAGAGTCCCTGAGTTCAATTCTCAGCAACCACATGGTGTCTCACAGCAATCTATAATGTAGACTTGGCGCCCCCTTCTGGCATGTGGGCACACATGGAAGGAATGATATACACATAATAAATAAATAAATAAATCTTTGGAAAAAAAAAGAAAGAAAGAAAACAGAATCCATCCCTCTTCTGCATACAAGAAACGCATCTCAACCTCAAAGACAGACATCGCCTCAGAGTAAAGGGTTGGAAAAAAATTTTCCAATCAAATAGACCTAAGAAGCAAGCGGGTGTAGCTATCCTAATATCTAACAAAATAGACTTTAAGCTAAAATCAGTCAAAAGAGACAAAGAAGGACATTTCATATTAGTCACAGGAAAAATCTATCAAGAGGAAATTTCAATAATGAACACCTATGCCCCAAATACAAGGGCACCCTAATAGGTCAAAGAAACACTTCTAAAGCTTAAATCGTATATTAAACTTTACACACTAATAGTGGGAGACTTCAACACTCCTCTCTCACCACTGGACAGGTCAATCAGACAAAAAATGAACAGAGAAATAAGAGAACTAATAGATGTTATGACTCAAATGGACTTAACAGACATCTATAGAATATTCCATCCAAACAGAAAAGAATATACCTTCTTCTCAGCACCTCATGGAATCTTCTCAAAAATTGACCACGTACTTGGTAACAAAACAAACCTCAACAAATACAAAAAAATTGTAATAACCCAATGTACCTTATCAGATCACCATGCTTTAAAACTAGAAGTCAACAACAATACTAATTCCAGAAAACCCACAAACACATGGAAATTAAACAGTACTCACCTGAATCATCAGTGGGTCAAGGAAGAAATAAAGAGGAAAATTAAAGACTTCCTAAAATTCAATGAAAATGACCACACAACATACCCAGATTTATGGGATACAATGAAAGTAGTGTTAAGAGGCAAGTTTATAGCACTAAATGCCTACATGAAAAAGCTGGAAAAATCCCACACTAGTGAATTAACAGAACATTTGAAAACTTAAGAATAAAGAAGCTGGGAGTGGTGGCATGCGCCTTTAATCCTAGCACTCGGGTGACAGAGTTTAAGGCCATTCTGCTGTACAAAGGGAGTTCCAGGACAGCCAGGGCTATAACACAGTTATACAGAGAAACCCAGTCTCAAAAAACTAAGAAAGAAAAAGGAAGAAAGAGAGAGAAAGAAAGAAAGGGGGAAGAGGTGAGAGAGAGGAAGGAAGGGAAAAAAAGGTCATTAGATATTAAACAACTGTATGACCAAAAATGATAAAATGGAAGAAATGGATAAATTTTTAGACATGTATATCTTACCATGAATAAATCATGAAATATATATATACATATATATATATGCCCCCTCCTGTGGGCCTATAAATGCTCATGTGTTAAAGGCTTTGTTCCCAGCTTGTAGATTTAGCCCTTAAAAAGGTAACTGACTAGAGGGCAGAGGTGGTGCACACCTTTAGTGCCAGCACTTGGCGGGGGAGGGTAGCAAAGGCAGGTGGATCTCTGAGTTCAAGGCTAGCCTGGTCTACAGAGTGAGTTCCAAGACAGCCAGGATTACACAGAGACCCTGTCTCAGAAGGAAAAAAGGAGGGGGGGTGTGACTGAATGAGGGCTTTTAGTCCATTGGTGGGTTCATAGTTGATGGCATTAGAGGAAATTGGTACTGGTTGGAGGAAGTTGGATACTAGAGACATTCTGGGACATTCCTCTGAAGAGTGTATCCCCCCTGGCTCTCAGTTTTTCAGGATGGCCGACTTTTGTATCCTTGTGCATGACTGTGAATAAGCTGATCTTGTATCCGAATTTTCCTTACAGTGACCACTACTTGAAAGAATTTGAAAGGACAGATTTATTTGGGCTCTTGGTTTCAGAGATTCCAGTCTATGGCTGGCTGGCTCTGTTTCAAACTAGTGAGTCAGACAATCCAGTAGAAAGGTGTGGCAGTGGAGATAAGTCATCAGTTAACAGCATTCACAAAGCAGGGAGAAAAGGGGCTGGATCAAGACGCATCCTTTAAAGGCATACTCCCAGTGACTTAGCACCAGCTGAGCTGTCCCCTTTGGAACATGAGCCTGTAGAGGACACACATTCAAACTTTAACACTAATTTGAAGGGGCTGAGACCGAATTTAATGTAGTATCTCTTTTGCACACATTTTTAGGCAAGAATGTGAAGAATAGCGAGTCTGTTATTGCGGTGAGAAAACAGATGGTACAGCCACTTCGGAAAACAGAGTATGGTAGAATCTATGGTGGATTCTATAGACTCAGAATACCTGCTGTCTCCCACCAATCTCTCTTTGATACAGGCAAACCTACTGGCTCATGGCCTTTCCTTGGACTTTTGGTTATGACAACCCATGGTTTCCTGTCATTCAAGGGACTAAGAAACAAGTGTGAATGCTTATTTGTTTCTCCTCAGGGCCAAACTCTGCCTGGACGAGTCCTCTTTCTGCGTTATGTAGTGCAAACCCTGGAAGATGACTTCCAGCAGACCTTGAGGAAGCAGCGGCAGCACCTTCAGCAATCCATCGCAAACACCGTTCTTTCATGTGACAAACAGCCTCACAATGTCAGGTAATAATCAGCTGTTAGAGTTCTAGTATGCCGAGAGTCGGGACTGTAGGTGTGTAACGAGTAAAGGCCAGTGTGGTCGTCAGTTCATCACTGACAACTGTGTAAAGAAGACAGTCAAGGAAAGAGGATTTATTTAAGCTCATAGTTTTGGAGGTTTTCATTCTGCCATGGCAGGAGCAGAGCTATTCAACTCGTGGCAGCCCGGAAGCAAAGGAGTAAAGGAAGGGGCCAGCACAGCATGCAGCCCCAAGGCCCTATCCCCAGTGATCCACTTTTCCAGCTAGGGCCTCCCCTTCCAGTTTTGCCATCTCTCAACAGTCCACTCAGACCTGGATTCATCAATAGATCGGACCACTAGAGAAGGGCTCTCCTGACGGTGGAGCCTCATTGTTTTAAGTTCTGTCAGACACACTGATCTGCTGGGTGTTTTCAGTCATTCACGATGAACCCAGAGACTACAAGAGATTGAGATTGTCCTCATTGCTAAATATTGGAAAAGGGATAAATACCAAAAATTGTGGAAATCAAAAGAACTGAACTGACTATGTGGCTAAGTAGTGGGGATTACTCCCTTGTTCTGAAGATTATTTGGAAAGTAAAATTCTGAGATCTCATATGACTGAAAAATCTCTTCTTTTCTCTCATGTATTGACTAATAAGTAGGCTAATTATTTTAGATATTTAGAAATAAATTTTGTGCAGAACTTTGAAGAAATTGTCTTCTAGCTGTCAAAAGTACTGTTAAATCAGAAGCAGGGCTGGAGAGATGGCTCGGCGGTTAAAAACACTGGCTGCTCTTCTAGAGGACCTGGGATCAATTCCTAGGTTGTGGGAATTGTGGCTGACAATCGTAGGATCTGATGCCCTTTTCTATCATGCAAATAGAGCACTTGCAACCATAAATAAATAAATCTTTAGAAATCAGAAGCAGTACTGGAGATATGACTCAATGGTTAAGAGCATTGGCTGCTCTTCTAGAGAACCTGGGTTCGATTCCCAGCATCCACATGGCAGCTCCAAACCATAAGTAACTCCAGTTCTAGAAGATAGGACACCACCTTCTAGTTTCCATGGGCACCAGGCATATACATGATACACAGACATACATATAGGTAAAATAAACATACATATAAGATAAAAAATAAAGGGCTGTCTAAATTTCATCAGTAATAATTTATAGAGAAAAACAAAAGAAAGGGGCTAGAGCCCAAACATCTGATTTGATAATTTTCTCTGATTTTGTGCATAACATCTGTTTTCCCCAAGTTAGTTGCCTTTGGCAGAGGAGTGGAGTTGTTTTGGATATTTAGGTCTCTGATTCCTTGAAATATGGTCTCTATGTAGCCCTGGCTACCTGGAACTCACTGTGTAGCCCAGGTTGCCTTCAAACTCATAACATCATTCTGCCTCTGTCTCCCGAGGACTGGGATTAAAGGTTTGTGCCACCACACCCAAATCAGTATTTACAATTTTCTCTAGTATTACTGTCGTTTTAAGAGGGAAACAATTAAGTGTGTGTATTCAATACAATTTTTTTGTTTTGTTTTTTGATTTTTGAAGACAGGGTTTTTCAGTGTAGCTTTGACTGTCCTGGAACTTACTCTGTAGATCAGAGATCCTTCTGCCTCTGGGTCCAATTGCTGGGATTAAAGGTGTGCGCCACCAGCACCCAGCTCAATACAACTTTTTTATCTTGTTTACTTAAGTAGTCAGTAATCATCAAAATAAATTTTAGGACTAAGTGGTGGTGGTGCACGCCTTTAAACACTTGGGAGGTAGAGGCAGGCAGATCTCCATGAGTTCAGGTACAGCCTGATCTACAAAGAGTGTTTCCGAACAGCTGGGACTCTACAGAGAAACCCTGTCTCGAAAAACAACAAAATATATCTTAACAATGTTTTTGCCTTACTGATAGAGTTTAAGCCCTATATAAAGTGTCTGCACTACACATCCTCCAGCCCTAGTACTTACCTTCATAGATAGTACATGATAGTGGAGACCTGGGGAAGACCTACTTGGTCCTCTAGTCCTGATTTCTACCTAGTTAGGTAGTATTGTTGCTCAGAAAGTCATCTTTGCCCCAGAAAAGCTTTTCTGTAATTATAACTTACGGTAGCCACTTTTGTCTGTCAGTTGACTGGATTAGTAAAGCACACCTCAGTGGTGTGTGATGATATTTCCAGAGGTGGTTAGATCTTGGGGCTCTGCCCTAATGAATGTGTCAGTTCCTTTATGAATTCACAGTACACTGATAGTATTTAGAGGTGTTGGTCTACTTGAAGGAAGTAGATCATGGGGTGCAGCTGTCCTGGGCATACAGCTCATACTGGCCACTTCCTGCAGCCTCTTTTCTCTGATTTTTATCCAATAAGAAGTGAAGAACAGCCTCTGCTCCATGCTTCCCTCACAGGGTGTTCTCCCCGACTGCACAAGTCCAAGAGCCATTGACGGAACCCTCTAAAACTGTGAGCTGAACTAAATCCTTCCTCCCTTAAGGTATTTCTGTCAGGGATTTGCCACACTATGGTGAAATGTAACTAATACATAGCTTCTGGGAGAGTGTTGAGGGCTAGAGGTACAGCCTAGGGATAGAATACTTGGCTGACATGCATACACAAGGCTCTAGGCTCAGTCTCCAGTACCACAAAAGAAGAAAAAAGAAAAATGTTTATATTTCAGCTTGCTTTTATAACTAGACTGCAGCTAAATGTGTGATTTTCATTAGACTTATTTAAATATTGAAAATAATCAGGCAGTGGTGATGCACACTGTTAATCCCACCATTCTGGACGCAGGGGCAGGTGGATATTTGTGAGTTTGAGGACAGCCAGAGAAACCCTGGATTGAAAAATAAAAATTAAAAAATTTAAAAAAATAACCTAAAGGTCCTTGACTCTCTTTGGAGGAGTCTCCTGCTCTGGGAACCCAGCATAAGTATGCAGGTGTGGACACTGTAGGTAAAACAGCAGTGCAAACCTTTCCTTTCTTACTTTTCTGTATTTCAGAGATGTCATCAAGTGGCTGGTCAAAACGGTGACTGAAAATGAATTAACGCAACCCCCAGATGGGACTCAGACCTCTTCAGGAACAGGAGTCTTGAAAGCTAGCAGTGGCCACCTGTCTCCCCAGCCTAACCTAACCAGGAACACCAATCAGCTGTAAGGAGCAAGCACAGAGTTGTCTTCCAGGGCAGCAAGGATTTGGTATTTAAAGAACAGGACCAGTCTCAAAGATCAGCTTGCCCCCAGATTACCAACTCTTGTAACAGCCTGATTCTCATTAAAGACTTAGTCTAGACTAGGAGTATAATTATGGTAGAATCCCTGCATTGTGTGCTCTAGGACCTGGATTCCACCAGCAGACAAGGAGGACTTCTCCTTACAGGCCCTCACTGCTAGCCACTGTTAGTTCTCTTTCAGAGTGTCACTTCCCCTCTTTCCAGCTCCCTAACCGAAGTCCTGAGCCTGCTTTGTCCAATACTCTGGGCAGCTGCCCCCTTTGGGGAACACCCCCATATCATGTCACTGTTCAAAGGGATTAGCTTTCCTGCCCTTTGACTTCTAACTCTGACCCATCTCCTATCCGCTGCCGGCTGCCAGGACCCCGAGGTTATCTGCCCTGTTGTTTCTCCAAACTCTAACAAATGGTCCTTATGTTGGTTAGCTATGGACACAGACAACACAGTGAATTATAAATGCATCATTGCAGAGCCGAAACTACCCACCCTGTCCATTGTTTGTCCCTGGCTGCGGTAGTTTCTGAAAATAATGCCTTTCCATCAAATAAGATGTGTTTAAATGGCTGCTGTTGAACCAGACTTGCCCTTCTGAAGTATTACCCAGCTTTCCAGCCATGTCTCCGCCTCTTTCCCATATTTGTGTCTGATGGGAGAGAAGGTGAAGGTCCATCAGTGAACATTCTGAAACTTGTCTTAGTAAGAACTGCTGTGTGGTAAAGAAACTAGGAATAGAAAAATTACATGGTAGGGCTACAGAAATGACTCAGCAGTTAAGAGCACTGGCTGCTCTTCCTGAGGACCCAGGTTCAATTCCCAGCACCTACATGGTGACTCACAACCACCTGTAACTCTAGTTGCGTGGGATCTAGAGCCCTCTTGACCTTTGAGGACACCAGACATGCACATAGTGCATAGTCATACTTACCCAAAAATATTCATACATAAAAGTAATTAAGTAGTTTACATTTTTAAAAACTAAATGGCAGGGGCTGGAGAGATGGCTCAGTGGTTAAGAGCACTGCCTGCTTTTCCAAAGGTCCTGAGTTCAATTCCCAGCAACCACATGGTGGCTCACAACCATCTGGTGCCCTCTTCTGGTGTACATGCAGACAGAATACTGAGAATACTATATGTATAATAGATAAATAAATCTTTAAAAAAATTAAGTGGCAGATGCCTGTCTTCTCCTATAACAAAGAAATTAAAATAAAGTTAGTCATTTTGGACCTGTCTCTTCATTTACAAAACCAGGAAGTTAATGTCTTTAAAGTTCTCTAGACCCTTAGGATTGTATGGTTCTGGTTTTAATTTGAAAGCATTTTGCTTATGTAGTTTACCCTCAAATTCTGAAAGGTTGACATATGATCTGACAAAAGGATTCAGGTACAGGAATTGCTCAATGAGAGCAAGCTAATAACTTGTTACTTTCCTTGGCCTGGTGGGTTTTGCTGACCCTTTAATAGTCTCTGTTCTTTTGTTGTGTTGTTGCTCTTTGTTTATTTGGTTTGTTTTGTTTGCCACAGAGTCTCACCATGTAACTCTGACTGGCCTGAAATTCACTATGTAGACCAGGCTGGCTTTGAACTCATAGAGGCCTGCCCACCTCTCCTTTCTGAGTGCTGGAATTAAAGGTGTGCACCTCCACACCCAGCTGTCTGGTCTTAGTATACATTGGTGGGGACCTCCAGCTTCAGGAAGCCTGTCACTAACTAAGTTTTCCTCTCACTTGTTTCTATCCTGTGCTCTGGATCCAGGATCGTGTGTCAACTTCAGAGGATGTTGTCCATTGCTGTAGAGGTGGACAGGACCCCTACATGCAGCTCCAATAAAATAGCTGAGATGATGTTTGGGTTTGTGCTGGACATCCCTGAGAGGAGTCAGAGGTGGGTCTGGTTTGATCAGTTTGTTGTGGTTTTAGTTGATTTCTCCATTAAAAAGAGAACTAAAAAGTAACTTTTTACTAGCTTTTTTATTTCTGCCTGCCGGAAACAGAATTTACAGAGAGAAAAATCACAAACTAATTGAAAAAGGAAGAAAGGAGTAGGGGGACTATTTATGTCTTTGAGATGAAAGGAGGAGGTTCCCAAACAATCGAAATGCACTCAAAGCATAATTCCTTGGGAAGAAGTAGACGCTATCAAGAGATCCTGAATGTCCCTACCATATTGATTTGATTAAATCAACGCTAACACTAAGATTTTCTCAGAAGGGGTAAATTAGCCACCCACCCAAATTATACTAGCAGATACATGAAGTACCCTTTACTTTTATTCGTTATTAATTCAGGTATAATTTGCAGTTATTTTTATAACTATGCAGATTTACATAGGTGGTATTTATGAGTCCTGACAAATGCCTGACCTGTCATTTTCCAGTGACTTGTTGGTAGCACATAAGTCAGTAATTGTCTTCTCCTATGACGTTCAGCTTCATCGTTTTTAGAAAGTAAAAACTACATCCAGATACCATATTTGTCAGTGTCTGACAGAACCACGTGTGCAGGCCAGAGTTTACCTTTTTTGCTTGTTTGTTTGTTTGGTTGGTTTGCTTTGGTTTTGGTTTCTCTGTGTATTCCTAGAGATCAGGCTCTCCTCAAACTCAGATCTGCTGGTCTCTGCCTCCTGAGTGCTGGGATAATAATGAAACATGTGCATGAGGATATTCACTACAATGATGTTTACAATTGTAAAATATTGGAAACAACCCAAATGTTCGTACACGGGATATGAATAAATACTTATTATATGATACCTGTACATGATGGAACATTATGTAGCTAAATACATAGGAAACTTCTAGTAAATGAGAGCTGGGCCTGGTGTTTGAACCCTGTGATCTCAGCACTCAAGCCTGAGGCAAGAGAATCAACCTACCTACATTGATGTTGATTTTTAGGGAGTGGGATGGGGGCTTAAAACGGGGTTTCTGTGTGTAACAGCCCTAGCTGTCCTATAACTAGCTTTGTAGGCTCATAGAGATCCTCCTGCCTCCAACTCAAGTGCTTGATTTAAAGGTGTGCACAACCTTGCTTGCTAAATTGTTTTATTTATCTTGATTTTGTTTTATTTCACCATTTTTTAATACAGCCCCTAATTGCTAAGTACTTTATGTATTTTAAAGATACTCTGTTTTCCTTGAATATATCATCTCTGATGAAAAGCTCTAGAAACTTAAAGTCTGGGGTCCATCTGAGTGACAGATAGCATATTGAAGCACAGGCCTCAAGCTCATGATCCTCCTTGCCTCCCTCCCTGGATATGCACCAGGATACCTGGCTTTGTCTTTTTCAAATGTCAGGCTGTTCCCTCGTCCTGTAAGTTATTACTTCATCAACAAATCTATTTCTGTCTGCAGCTGTGTTTTTATAGACCTCCATTACATGTCGGAGCATCCAGGGCAAACCATAGAGTCTTTGAGAGCACTTCTGCCTAACTCCCTCTTCTCCACACAGGGAGATGTTCTTCACTACTATGGAAAGCCACCTTCTGCGCTGCAAAGTGTTAGAGATCATCTTCCTCCACAGTTGTGAGACGCCCACCCGTCTCCCCTTGTCTCTGGCCCAGGCCCTCTACTTTCTGAACAATTCCACGTCACTGCTCAAGTGTCAGGTACTTGCCTTTCTGCTTCAGCTCCTCGCCCAGAGCACCTTCCCTTCCTGCTGTTTGGCCATCGTGGAAGAGCTTTGGAAACTATGCTGTAACTGGGACCTCTAACTGGGCAAGCATTCATTACCTGCTGCTTTTACTATCTCTGCAGTCAGATAAAACCCAGTGGCAGACATGGGATGAGCTGGTTGAGCATCTGCAGTTCCTGTTGTCCAGTTATCAGCATGTGCTGAGAGGTAAGGGGCACTTGCTCACAAGCAGGCCCTGTGAGAAGTCTCACAGTGGACATTACCAAAAAGGACAGCTTCTCAGAGAATTCTCATTTGTTTACCTAAGTAATGAATTGTTCTAGGCAGGTGTGGTGACGCTGGCCTCTAATTCCAGCACCCAGGAAGCTGAGGCAGAAGGATGAAGAATTGAAGGCTACATAGTAAAAATGTGTCTCAAAAATAATAATACAAGCTGGAAAGATGGCTTAATGATTATGAGCACTTGTTGCTCCTATAGAGGGCCCAGGTTTGATTCCCAGAACCCACGTGGTAACCCAATGCTCTCTTCTGTCCTCCGTAGGAACAGTACATATGTGGTCAACAGAAAGAGATGCAAACAAAACACCCACACATAAAATAAAAATAAGCAATTTTTTTTAAAGATATATTTATTTATTATGTATACAACATTCCTTCCATGTATGTTTGCATGCCAGAAGAGGGCACCAGATCTCATTATAGATGGCTGTGAGCCACCATGTGGGTGCTGGGAATTGAACTCAGGACCTCTGGAAGAGCAGTCAGTGCTCTTAACCTCTGAGCCATCTCTCCAGCCCCAAAATAAGCAATTTTTAAAAAGTTTTAAAAACAGAAGCAAGAAGCCAGGTGGTGGTGACACATTCCTTTAATTCAGCACTCAGGAGGCAAAAGCAGATGGATCTCTGTGAATTAGAGGCCAGCCTGTTCTACAGAGTGAGTTCTAAGACAGCCAGGGCTACACAGTGAAACCCTGTCTCAAAAAAACCAATAATACCCAGGCAATGGTGGCGCAAGCCTTTAATCCCAGCACCCGGAAGGCAGAGGCAGGCAGATCTTTGTGAGTTCAAGGCCAGCCTGGTCTATAAGAGCTAGTTCCAGGACAGGTTCCAAAGCTACAGAGACCCTGTCTCAAAAAAAAAAAAAAAAAAAAAAGTAATAATAAGTAATAACAACAACAAAATAAAAAATTTAAGGCACTGTTCCTTGATTATAACCACAGAGAGCACAGCTGTATCACTGTGGTGATTATAGGGTGAGCTACGCATGGGTGTCTAGGTTCACTTCTCTACAATGCTGGTGATAGTAACTTAGGATGGATTATTCTTGTATGAGAAAAAGTAGTATCTTCCATTATGATTGCCTTACTTTCAGCCTGCCTGTAGGCCTGGTTGGGGACAGACAAGGGTCTTTTCTGTTGCATACTCTTGTAACTACAGTGGTCTGGGGTTGTGGTGCTACAGAGTAAACCAAAGCCTCCTGTGTGCTAGATGAGCACTTTCCACTTAACTGTACCCCAGTCCTTACAACTAGATGTGTCAAAGGGTACACTGTCAGGCCACAGTACACAGTTGTATAGTGTGTGCATGTTTTAGCACCCTCAGTGAAAGGCACACCCAAATACATACAGTAAGTAGTAAAAAAAAAAAAAATTAATTCACATGAATTTTTCCCTAAGTGGTTATTATAGTTTTATTTAGTAGAGTTGTTGTTTAAATCATCCTCTGGCCTCTGTGGGCACCTGCATACACACACAATAATATACCTTTTAGAAGCTCTCCTGTGGGCACCTGCATACACACACAATAATATACCTTTTAGAAGCTCTCCTTTTTTCTTTTTGAGACAGGGTCTATTTAGTCATGACTGCTTTGCCCAGCAACATTTTTTCTTGACATCAGTGTTGAGGCAAGAACACAAACGTTTAAGAAATGGGGTTCCCACGGTAACTCACATGACCTTTCATCTCCTAGTAGCCAGGCACCAGGCCTTACTTACAAAGTTTGACTTTAACTTTTAAATCCCAAGGAACAAAAAGCAGATGTTTGACTCCTTCCCTCTTACAGAGCACCTACGGAGTTCAGTGATTGATCGGAAAGACTTGATCATCAAAAGAATCAAGCCCAAGCCCCAGCAAGGAGATGACATCACGGTGGTGGATGTGGAGAAACAGATTGAGGCCTTCCGCAGCCGCCTGATCCACATGCTGGGAGAACCTCTAGTCCCCCAGCTCCAAGACAAAGTGCACTTGCTGAAGCTGCTGCTCTTCTATGCTGCGGACTTGAACCCCGACACAGAGCCTGCCCCACAGCACTGAGCCAGCCAGACTTCTAAGCACTGAGTACCAAGAATACCTCCTGACTGTGGCCAGCTACTTAGAAGCTCTTAAGTATGAACAGTAGTTAGGACTATCATAGGACCAAACCTATCTTATTTATCAGTAGGCTGTAATAACTTTATAACTCCTCAGCATCTTTTTTTATAATCCTATCCTAGCCTATTCAAATATGGCTTAAATATACAAGGTGTATATATTTTTTATTAAATTATTTATGTATGCTTTTGAAACAGGCAATACAATATGCACTATATGTCCAACATTTCCATTCAAGATGTGAAGACCCCTTCTGCTGAACAATCTTCATCAGTGTTACATCAGTCAAGGTACTGACGGCCTGTTTCTGGAAAGAGTGTTTCCTGAATACAGCACATTCTAATTAGACTTTTCATATTGCCTATGAACATGACTCTGTGGCCAGTTAATTAAAGCTAATATAACAAAGCAGGCAAAGAAACAAAGTTAGAGCCCGTTAATGAAACATCTGACGTCAAAAGTTATATCAAAAGGCACCAAGTTTACAAAGCTCCGGCTCCACTACTGGGCAGGTAGAATGGACAAGAGAGACCTGGGTTTGAGAAAGTAGTAAAGATTTTTATTGTCAATACAAGATAACACAAATAAATTAATTTTTACAACAATCTGAGACTCCAGAGCTTCTCTGTGAGAAGGTTATTATGTAAACAGCCTACTATCTAAAATGATCTAGCAAGCAGCTGTGACAGTGTGCAAGACCAGCAGACCTGTGGATAATGAGAAGAGAGAAAAGCAGTTTTCTTGCTTCCTCTCCTCAGTAAGATGTGTTACCGAACAGATGAGGCTAACTTGGTGGAAAATGGTCTCAAAGTTACTAGAATAAGGTGACACCAAATTCAGGTGAACCTGAAGACTATAATCCAATTGTAAAGCTTTAGCTGGGTATGGTGGTGAATGCCTTTAATCCCAGCACAGGGAGGCAGGGGCAGTAGATCTTCTCTTTGAATCTAATGAGTGAGTTCTAGCCTAGCCAAGCCTACGTAGTGAGACCCTGTCTCATAAAACAAAACACACACAACTAAAAAAAGCTTAAGATCCAGGAACTAGGGCGAAACTAACTTGGTAGAGCAAGACCCTAGGTTCAATCCCCAGTGGGGTGGAGGGGGAATCATCAGTATGAAACTAGTAGACTCAGTTCAATTAATTTCATGTTAAAGTGCAAAAGAGGCCATGTGAGATTAGTGTTTGTTCTGTGACAGAGCAAATAAGCAGGCCCAGGAGGACAAAGTGTACACCGGACTAATCAAGACAAAAAACCTGTGGTCCTGCCAAGTGTAGTCTCTCAGACAAGTCCAGGCCCACTCACAAAGCTAAAGCATGTCAGGAAGCCATGGCTGTCCTGATGAGTTGGTGGGCACCTCTATCATGATTTGTAACTGCTCACGTTGATCAAGGAAAAGGAATCCAGAGGCCTTAGTTTTGGAAGCACACCAGCACTATTTACCTAGAAGAGCAAGGGTCAAAGTCCTTCCCTAGGATAAATGATTAAAAAAAGGTGAGGTCACTCAGCACCACTGACATATTCCACCAACCTGAAAGCAGTACAAAATGGTTGCACACAAGGACAATCTGCACAATGTCACTCAGGCCTCCAGTTAACTACGTAACTCCTATGTCAGAGCCCAGGGGACAGAAAACATTCTAGAAGCCAGTGGGTGTGAGCACATTCAGGTCACGGGGTTTGAGATTATGGATCCGAGGTGGTTGTTTCTTCCCTTCTACCACTGGGATATCCATCTTAGGCGGCTTGAAGGTTGCTGGATCTTCACCTACTCGTGTGGCTTGGGCACGCATTAGCTCCATAGGAGAGGGTTTGGGGGCACCTTTGTAAGCCTGGATGGCAAAACCTGCTAAGGAAAAGCAAATGATTATAGCCCTCAGCCCATACACCAGCCAGGGCCTCGCTGCTGTTTCTGAAGGAGCTCTTACCAGAGTCAGACCTCTGCAGGGGCCGTGGTCCAAAGAGGCTCCACTTGTCTACTGAGTTCTTGTCATTTCCACTCCCAGGATCCATGGTTTGAGGATTTGGGCCAGGTAAAGCTGTGGAAGAGCCAGGGGGGAACCAGCCTCTGGAACGGAGAAGTAAATATGTATTTCTGAATGTCCTTTTCCTATGTCATGAGAAGTGTCTTCCACAGGCTGGAGGCCAGTACCACCTCAGCACTAGCTTTCCTGAAGGACGGACTCACCTGGATTTCTGCTTAGGGGAGGAGTGAGGGGTGCTGCTCGGGGTGGACTGGGCCGATGCAGGCTGCTTCTCGTCCTTTGCTGTCTCTCCACTCTGCAGCTTTAGTTTCTGTTCAGAAGATGAGAAGAGACTTTCAGAGGAGAGCAGACACAGAGCCGCGCAGTCGGTGTATGCACTCCGATGCACATCCTAACTTCAGGCAGGAGGGATTCTGTTTTTCCCACACCAGATGGACTTCATGTTTCTATGAACTGTACTCCACAGCACCTCACACTCTTGTGCTACAAGCTGTGCACTACAACTTACGTGTCCAAAAAAGCCAAGTCGTTTAGGGGAAGAGACACCAAACTGCAAACCCCTTAGGTCTGAACTTCAGTATAAGCCCCGCACTGCTCAGGCTTGCTGTCTGTCCTCTGTAGTAAAATGCTAAGAAACCTACCTCATTGTCCCCTCCTCTCCTGTAACCAACCACCTCCACACCATTGTTAAAATAGTGCCAGTACACTAGCCGGGAGAGTCAGAGCTCTATGTCTAAGCTCCATAGTAGTATGTCTGTCCTCCATAAGGGCTATGCCTCTGCTGGACCTAAGTTTACTTTCTCAACACATCAATCTGTGTATGTTGGCAAGATGAATGGCAAAAACTGAGCACCCCCCAAGAAGCATCAGTCCTGTCTAAGCTCAGATGGACACCAGTTCAACACTGATTTCTCACAGCAGTGGCTTCTGAACTTATCCTGCAGATTCATCTGGAATGCTCATTCCACAATGCAGCCCATCCACTCACCACACAGCTCCCCCATCCCCACACACACAACTGTGCACCACCTCCTGATGCTTTTTATGTTCTCTCTATGCCCACAGGAACTTGCCATGGCTACTTGGGTTTTGTTTTGTGTTTCGTTTTCTTCCAGACAGGTTTCTCTGTGTAGCCCTAGCTGTCCTCAAACTCAGAAATCTGCCTGCCTCTGCCTCCTGAGTTCTGGGATTAAAGGCGTATGCCACCACCGCCCAGCTTTTTCTTTAAAATAAATAAATAAAAGCATATATATATAGTTTTTTGGTTTCTTTGGGTTTTTTTGTTTGTTTGTTTTGTTCTATTTTTTTGTACAGGGTTTCTCTCTATAACAGCCCAATAGCCCAAGCTGGTCTGGAACTCCCTTTGTAGATCAGGCTGGCCTCGAACTCAAAGATCTGCTTGCCTGCCTCTCTCCTGAATGCTGGGACTAAAGGCACATGCCACTACTGCCCTGCTTTCTTTCTTTCTTTCCTTATTTTCATGTGCATGAGTGCCTGCATGTGTGTATATGAACTGTGGAGGAGAGGGTGTGCACACGAGGTAGGAGTACATATGGAGATCAACTTGTGTCACTATTCAAAAGCTACCTACCTTGTTTGTTTGGGTTATTTTGAGACAGGGTCTCACTATGTAAGCTCTGGCTGTCTTGGAACTCACTATGTAAACCAGGCTTGAATTCACAGAGGCCTGCCTGCATCTGCATCCAAGTGCTGGGAGTAAAAGCATGCACACTATATCTGGCACCACTGTGTTCTTTGAGATCATAGCTCACTGGAATCTTGAGCTGATTAGGCTGGCCAGCAAACTCCAGGAAGGAATACACCTATCTTTATCTCCCTAGCACTGAGGCAGCCAGCATGGATCATCCATCATATCCAGCTTTATACATGGTTTCTAAGAATTGATCCTCCTGCTTCATAGCAAGCACCTTATTGACTGATTTATCTCTCCAGTATCTTCTTTATTTACAAAACAGAATACAGTATCTATCTCCAAGGATCAATGTCAAGCTGATGTGAATGCATGAGTCACAGAACACCATTCAGTACGAAGAGACCTCTCTAAAGATCCATGTATCCTGTGAACACCACTTTACAGACAAGCAAGCAAAGTATCTGCAGGAGTGCAGGCCTTCAGCAGGAATGCACCTTAGCAGGGCATTCCTGGTCCCTTTGCCCATTATCTTGTCACTCTTAGTTGCCAGACAGCTAAGCTGTAAACTTCCAAACCATAGCCATTATTTCAAGCCATGAACAACATTGGTTGCTTACATGGAGTGCTTCTGCCACTCGGAGGTACTTGGTCTCCTCAGTGGTGAGGCCCTTGTGGGGTGTGTAGCCAGCATCTCTCAGTCCTGCTTGTTGCTCAAAACGCTGGATGCTTTCCTGGGTCTGTTCTGAAAAGAAAGAACAGTCATGCTCAGCTCTGAACCAGTCACAAACCAGCCAGGACAAGCACTTTCTGCAGTTCTTCCCAGAAGCAAGAGGCCACACTGGCTCGTGAGAGTAAGGATGCCCCAGACAGGTCCTGGCATGGCAATTCTGACCCTCAGGTGTGCCTTCCCTCACAGCATACTAAAAAGCTGCCCGACAGGGATGCTGGATGCCTCACCTCCTCTCACTTAAGACTCCATAAAACCCTCACATTCAGCAACAGGCCAGGAGGCCCTGGCATCCAGACACAGTAAGAATTCCCAAATCACTAAGCTCCTAAGAGACTTAGCACTTGCACAGAAGCTTTGCCAAAGAGAAGCAGGTCACATTCCTACCAGCTGTCCCCAAGGTACCAGTCAGATTCACAGCACAGCCACCTGCCTTAAACTAGCCAAGGTCCACAGACCCCACATTTCTTACACATGATCTGCCTGTTGCTGTTCCTGCCCTAGCTAACAATGTTCTTTCAGCTTGGTTTATTATTTATTTCACAAGTCACTCACTATGGAATGAACAAGAAAAAATGATGCTTTTCTTTTTTTCTTTTTCTTTTTTTTTTTTTTGTTTGTGTTTAAGACAGATTTTTTTCTTAAGGTACAAACTGCACACTAAACATGAGCACGGCAGCTGTGAACGGTCCCCACACCAACAGACTTTAGATCTACACACTCCACTTCCTTTTTATGTAACAGGTGTGCTGCCTGCATGTATATCTGTGTACCATGAGCATGCCTGGAACCCTCGGAAGCCACAACAGCTGTGCCCTCCTAACGCCAGAATGGTCAAGCTACAGAACACAAGTAGTAGCTGCTGTTCCTTCCGGTGGTGCAGTCACAGAAAAACAGAGGGGGTCTGGACTCTGACTTTCTGAGTCAACTTTCCAGAAGTGACCAAGACACTCAGATGCCCTCCTGGAGAGGAAAATAAAGGCCAACCAAGGAGAAGTCCTGTGCACCTCAGCCATGGGGTGGGTATTACTGCTGACATGCAGAGCCATGCACTGAATAATTAACTCCCCACACCAACTAGAACAGCCCCTGAAAAGAAGCTTAGGCAACTTGTGACCGAAGTTTAAAAAGAGGAGCTGGAAAGAGGGCTCAGTGGTTAAAAAGGACTTACTCCTCTTCCAGAGGACCCAAGTTCAGATCTCAGCACCCATACTGGGTGGCTCACAACTGTCTGTAACCCTAGCTCCAGAGGATCTGATGCCATCTTCTGGCCTCCTCACCACCTCCAAACACTCACACATACATACTATATACATAAATTTTAAAAATTTTAAAAAAAGTTTAAAAAGATAAAAAAAAAAAAAGCTCATTAAGCCTCATTAGGACCATCAATAACACATTCTAAAAACTAAAGAAACTGAGGCTCCAAACCTGGTCTCCCTCCTGGTGGACCATCATGTTCAAGGCCTTGATCAGCACTATCAAAATTTGTTTGTGAAAATATATATAAATTATTTTTAAATGCATATGTAAAATTTTTTAAAAGTAGCTGGGTACGGTAGTACATGAGCAATACTAGCCATAAGAATTCTGAGGCAGGAGCACTACTTTGAGTTTAAAACCAATGAGAGCACAGAGCAAGATCCTGTCTCAAAACCAAATACACATGTATAGCAGTGCAAGGCCAGAGGGCTGTTCTCCAGTGTGCCACCTTCTCTAGCAACACACCTAGGCCAGGAATAGCAGTGGATCCAAAGCTCCTGCTAATGAACTATTCAACCTTAACATCAACCCGTCAGCTAGATCCCCTATTTCAGAAAGTGGGGTGCCATATCTAGTATTTAGTGACCACACTGGTCAGTCCAGGAAAATGAGGCTGTATCAAGCAACAGCAGGACTCTACTGAAGCTAATAAGATGCTTAACAGGCAGAAATCTTCCTCCTCAATGAGGTTCTGCAGCCAGGTGAATGTGGGGCCCCACAAAAGCAGGTCTGAGAACCAGCTACAGCTGAGGCACAAGCACTCCCTCCCTCAGTTCCTCTGCTGAGACCCAAGGGCGCTTACTTGTGATCAGGGAATTCATGATGACATGGGTAGCTTTGGCCTTCACCACAGGGGCCTTGTCTGAACTGTCAGTGGCTGTTGATGGAGTCACAGCAAGGGAAGAGACACTGGCCGCTCCTTCCTCTGTCTGTTCAAGAAAGGTAAGGAGGCACATGAGCAGGAGCTGCACCTAAACTACTTCTCTGTCTGTCTTTCCTTTTTTGTTTGTTTGTTTGCTTGTTTTTTGTTTTTCAAGACAGGGTTTCTCAGTGTAGCCCTGGCTGTCCTGGAACTCACTCTGTAGAACAGGCTGACCTCGAGCTCAGAGATCTGCCTGCCTCTGCCTCCTGAGTGCTGGGATTAAGGACATGCACCACCACCACCCAGCCTAAACTTATTTCTTAAGAGAAAAAGTTACAAGAATATGTAACCTGTAAGAGAAGAAAGATTTAAAGCCTCTACTAGTCCAGTGACATCAGAAAAAGACCTTAGGGGAAGAGCCTGGAATCACCCAATGAAAGGCAGAATTTGGAGCCCTGAGACCTAACTTTCCAGACTGTCTTCCCATAAGACTACAGATGCAACATTGGTCTTGTGGTACACACATATAATCCCAGGGCTAGAGGGGCTGAGGCAGGAGGATTGTGTGAGTTCAAGTCTAGTCTGGGCTACACAGTAAGTTCAAGGCAAGGATGAAATACCTACCAAAACAGAGGGAAAATTAATGAGGGACAGAGGAGAGAAAGGACCAACAGGGAGAACAGAAACAAAATGGAACAAACACTTCTTACAAAGCACTGACCATATGCCAAGCATTGAGCCTTATTCAGCCTGAGCAGAATATTTCCTCAGGCTTGACCACACATCAGTCACCTGAGTACTGGCCAATTACATTTCAGGCTACTTGGCAGGTCTAGGCTGTCAGGTGAGACACAAGGGCTCCATCTTCAGGACCACATAAACAGAGTATGGTGACACCCATCTGTAGTCCCAGCACTCTGAAGGCTAAAGACTGCCGTTGAGTTCAAAGTCAACCTGGACTACAGAGTGAGACCCTATATCAAAAGAAAAAAAAATTGTCTCTAGCCCAGTATGTCTGATGCCCTGGGTTCTAAAATAATAAGATTTTTAAGTAAAAATTATGTTTCTAATAAACTCCCAAGTGTGATGGTTAGTGTGAATGGTGTTAACTTGACAGAACCTAAAACCACCAAGAGAGAGGCCTTTGAGCACACCTAGGAAGAATCATCTAGATGAGCATTAGCCTTTGAGAGTGTCTGTGAGAGGTTATCTTGATTCTCTTAATTGATGTGAGAAGACCAATCTTTATTAGAGGTGGCACCATTCCCTGGGCAGGGGATCCTGGGCTGTATAAACTGGGGAAACGAACAGAGCATCAGCATGCATCCCCTCTCTATTCCCTGACTCTGAATGAGATGAAGCCCACTCCTTCAAGATCCTCCACCTTCCCTTGCCCACAGGATGAACCGTACTTGAACTGGGAGCTTTATGAGCCCTTTTCCCCAAGCTGCCTCTGCCAGAACATTTTATCAGAGCAACAGGAAAGGAGGCTGGGCCAGCAAGTACTACCGCCAGACCACTGCATAAAGGCTCACACAACATTCTCCCCTGCACACCCCCAGGCTGAGGGTTGACCCCAGGGCCTTACACATGCTCAGCAAGCACTCTACCACCGAGTACATCCCTGCCTATTTTTTTTTCAAACTTTTTTTTTCTTTTATTTATTTATTATGTATACAATATTCTGTCTGTGTGTTTGCCTGCAGGCCAGAAGAGGGCACTAGACCTCATTACAGATGGTTGTGAGCTACCATGTGGTTGCTGGGAATTGAACTCAGGACCTTGGGAAGAGCAGGCAATGCTCTTAACCACTGAGCCATCTCTCCAGCCTCCCCTGCCTATTTTTTAACATCTATTTTGAGACAAGACCTCATTAAGTTGCCTGGACTTGCCTTGAATTTACTGTGTATCCCAAGCAGGCTATAGCTGGAAACAGCTATAGTTTGTTTTTGTGTAGATTTTTATTGTAGTTGTTATCTGAGGTCTTTTTTCTTTGGGTGGGGATCTTTGTATGGAGCTCATGCTGGCCTCTGGACTCAAGACCGTCTATACACAGGTTGCTACAGTTCTTACCACTGTCTTTATTTTCGTTTGGGGGTTTTTGTTTTTCAAGACAAGGTTTCTCTGGGTAGCCCTGGCTATCTTGGAACTCTCTCTGTACATCAGACTGGCCTCAAACTCACAGAGATTCACTTGACTCAGTGTGCAGGGATTAAAGTTATGTGCCACCACCACCCGGCTAGCTTCTCAGTCTTTAGAACATTTTCCCTTCAACAGCCACCTGGATCCGATTCCAGCAGACAGGTGATACTACAGAGCTCTCCACAGAGCAGTGGGGAATGGGTCTTAGCAGTCCCTGTTCTGCAGGTGTAACAAGGGAAACAGAGAAGGCACAAGCAACAACACAGCAGGCATTCCAGAGACTGTGCTTATGCCAATCACAAAACCAACTTTTAGTGGTGGTGATTCATGCCTTTAATCCCAGCACTCCGGAGGCAGAGGCAGGCGAATCTCTGTGAGTTTGAGGGCAGCCTGGTCTACAAGAGCTAGTTCCAGGACAGGTCCCAAAGCTACAGAGAAACCCTGTCTCGAAAAAACCAAAAACAAACAAACAAACAAAACAACTTTTAAAGGTTTTTTTGGGGGGAGCTCTGCCAAACCTTCAGCTTAATGCTGCAATAGAATACAGGCTGAACATCACTATCCAAAACCCTAAACACTCAAAGTGCCCCAAAGTCTGAAGCTTTTAGAACGCTGCGATGACACAAGAGGAAGTAAAACATCCCACAGTGTAAAACTTCATTTTGTACATAAAAAAAAAAAAATGACTACCTAAGAGTAATCAGGCTATGAGTGGAAAGTATGTATACAACATAAATTAAGCATATTTAGACTTGAATCCTATTCCCCCACTAGCTCATTGTATGCATGCAAATATTCCAATAATTCTCTGGCTAGATAACAGAGAAGCTCCAAAGAGACAAGCAGGATTCATCAGAACTCAGGTAGTGAGAGGTTCTGGAGTTTGGCTTTTTAGCTGGGGAAGCAGAGTCCAGAAGACTCTCATGCAGACGATACTACATTCAAGTTTTGAATTTTTAAAAAAGCGTCAAGTGTAGAAGATACACAAAGGGAACAGCTGCTGCCTGACCTTGTGGGGACTGAGACTCACTGAAGGCTTCTGGAGCAGGACAAAGGGGCGAGTTTGCCAGAAGTCGTCAGCAGGGTAAGGTACCTTGTCAAGATGCTGATACTTGCGCTCTGGAATCACTGGCTTCCAGGGGATGCTGCCCATGTCCGATGGAGGAGGAGTCATGGGTGCAGGGTCCTCTAGGGCATCATCATAGCTGAATGCCCGGCGGCACACCCCGATGGGCAGGGACATCTTGCCTAGAGGCCCACTGGGCGCAAGAGCTAAGAATAGAGACACCTGTCAATATGGAATATCAACTCAACATACTAGTGGCTTTAAGTTAATCTGTAGACAAGGAAGCTATGAAATTTATTTAGGGACAGTTTGTCTGTGGCAGCTATCAATCCATTCAAGGGAGGGTAATAGCAGTGCTAACTGCCTTCTTTACCCACTCACTCTAGAGTCTCCACACAGCCACTCAACACTATCCTCTTTTCTTTCCTCCTTTTTCAGATAGGGTCTTGCGATGTAGTCCTGGCTGGCTGGTACTCACTATGTAACTTGCACAGCTGACCTCAAATTCTGTCAGTCCTCCTGCCTCAGTTCTTCCCAAGTGCTGGGACTACAGGCATGCACCACTACACCAGGACCTAATCCACTTTTAAAGACTGAAGAACCTTAAGCTCAGTTTAAATTCACCTGTGCAAAGTCTCCATTTCAAAGCATGATTTCCAGTCAAAACCCAAATTTATCTCATTTCAAAACTTGTACACTAAACTCTCAGACATACAAGACTAAGAGGGACATAAAGTGGCTGAGATATCTTCTCTCCTTTTCCCCCACACTCTACCTACAGTCTGTCCCTGTCTCATCTGATAAGGAAACTAAACCCTAGTGTGAACTGATCTGCCTCAGTTCATAGAGAAAATAGCTGGCTGAGGTCTGACCAAGTCTACGACAAACCCCATGCCTTTTGTCTCCCCCACAAAGAGAACTACAAGCAGCAGTCCACAGCCTGGCACCACCTCCAGTTTCTAGTATTCTGATGACTGAAAATTTCCAAAGAAATGATTGACAGCCGCTCTCATCAACACTACCAGACTGGTCCCGCCAGTCCTGTCCACAGGCCTGCTGGAATGTAGAGCTGTGACACAAGCACCACGCTTCAAGGGCACTCTCAGCTGTGCCAGAGCAGAGAGCAAGGTTCACTTTGGTTTACTGATCCAGAACCTGCCTTCAAGGTGATACTTTCCTGTTAGATAATCATATTCTTCAAGATAGCAGCCTGCCTGGCAGCAAGTCCCAAACCCCAGAAAGTTTCACTTAAACAGCAAGGAGACCCACAACTACCATGTGACTATTACCAATATTAATAACTACTAACAAACCCAAGAGGTTGCCAGGGGCCAGGCAGAGAGGGCAATGAGGTGTAACTCCTAATGGGAACAAAGTCTTTCTGAGAGAAGGAAAATGCTCTGGAAGTAGGTTAATATGATAGATGCAAATCTTAAGAACACACCAGCCATTACATTACCCACTGTAAGTGGTGAATTTACAGGATGTGCATTGCATCTCAACTAAAACAGACAAATAGAAATTATCAGGCACTAACATCCCTCCTTGTATCCAATCCTCACTAAACAAATGCTCTTCCCATGTCCCAGACCAGGAAACTGGTACAGAGCACAAGCAATCACACAGCTTGGTGTGCAGCAGACAGTCAAGCCAGGGCTCCCACCTTGTGCCCACCACTCCATGCATCCATGCTACAAAGCACTAACCTAATGAGTGCGACACCATAGTTCTGCATGGTTACAATGAGTTTATGGCAATGCAGTATGAGTGGAAGACACACATAATGGAAGAGACAAGAGATTTTAAGACACATGGAGAAGCTTCCATTAGCCTACCTAACTGGGGAGCAATTTCAAAACCATGTTTAAGACTTTTCTCAGTGGTTTCATAAAAACCATGACAATAAAGTTAGCTAACCTCTACTAAGAAATATGTGCCTACAAAGAGCCAGGCGTGGTACACATGCATTTAATCCCACACTCAGGAGGCAGAGGCAGGAGCATCTCTATGAGTTCCATGACAGCAGTCTACAAAGTGAGACTGTCTCAAAACAAGCAAACAACACTTTTTGAGCAGTAAATGCAGATTTAGCAGCCACTTTTAACTTCCATTTGCAAAATGTGTTTTATTTAAGATGGTGTGGTGGTGGCTCCTGCCTTTAATCCCAGCACTTGGGAGGCCAGGCAAGAGGATCTCTGTGAGCTCAAGGTCATTCTGGTCTACAAGAGCTAGTTCCAGGACAGGTAACAAGGCTACAGAGAAACCCTGTCTTGGAAAACAAACAAGCAAGTAGAGTTCCAAAACAGCCAGAACGACAAACCACAGAGAGAGACCCAGTCTCCAAAAATCAAATAAAGAAAAAAACTGTTTAATCTTCACATTAGATGGGCTGGCAACACCATCTACACTTCTGAGAATCAGAGACTCAGTGATTCAGACTGATTTAAAAAAATCACCTTCCTTTCTGGTAACAGTCCAAGGAGAAATCAATGATTTCAGTACTGCATTACACAAACCAAGAGAACACACTACGTGTCGATACAAACATTTTTACAACTAAGTTAGATTTAACAGTGATTCTGTCTTTTGTCCAGATCGCCATCCTACATTAACCACCCAGGGTAATTTATTCACGCTGACATACCCTACAAACATACTGTTAATTCTTCTCCTTTGGTATAATGTATTTGTCAAACACTTAAGGGCAGTGGCTCTAAATAAAGATCTGAGCATGGCTGGGAAGGTAATGAGATAATATTAAAATGATGACAATCTAACTACTTCCCTAGTGGCAAATAGGAACTGTTAACATATGATTTGGAGAAAATAAGTTTAAATCATTAAGGGCAAAACAGACTTAACCAAATAAGAACTCTGTTTACCAGGCACTTCTGGTTGTCTCGAAGCCATTGAAAGAATGGAATCCAGGAGCTTTTTCTATACAGAATTCGGAGCGGAGTCCCTGCCACCTAATAAAAATAACAAAGGGCATTTTTCTTAAGCTGAACAGCGGTTGATCACTCCTGGGCCGCTCTTCTGATAGACACACAGCGATTTAAGGCTTGTTAATAAGGCTGAAACTTACATACACTAGAAACAATGTGTGACAAACACACCCCAAAGGATAAAGTTCAGTGGTTCACCGTGTCCACCGGCTCATCTTAACAACGGAGAAAGCAAAGACAAGACACAGTGAAGATGCCTTACCACAATGAAATGACGCTGAACTATGCGGACAGACAGATGGTAATGAGGAGCATTGCCCAGCTGCTGCAAATTAGCAAAGCTTCCGAGGAAGAATCCATCCAGAGGCTCTAATAACAATAAACAACCAGGGTTGGTATAGCGCTCCCAAGTCCACCAAACGATGCCCTGTACATAACGTTCATTCCCTTCACAAGCCGTATTACATAGCATCTCCCCTCGACAGAAATGGGCTACGCAGCAGCGAAGACCAACACACTCTTACTAACGCCGGCTAACAGTAACCGCCTCTTACACAAAACTGTCCTTAAAACCCTTGCGCCGCACTGCACAGCAGGCATTATTGACCCGAATTTTTATTCAAGTTCATAGGGGCCACTCACCGCAGCCCCGAAGGGCATCGGCAAGCCAGACACACGCCCTTCACCTCGCCCACAACGACCCCAAGCCCACGACTTTCCTTCAGAAGGTACAAAACAAAGCCTCCGGGATGTATAAAGCCCGGCTGGACCCTTCTACGGTCCCACCCCTCGAGGCCAAGTCCAAGGGTGCGCGGCGCGCGGGTGCACGGAGCCTCACTCGGGATCTCTGAGGAGCTCCAGGCCCCCACCCGGCCCCCAGGCCGCGGCGCCCC